AAGCTCACCCTCCAAGGAATTCTGCTGCAAACCCAACTAAAAACAAAACAAAACGTGGAAATCATGGATTTTCAGAGCAGCAGCTGCCCTGAGCACTAGCTTGGAGGTGAAACTGACCAGACTCCAAAATTGGGAGAATATAACTACAAATGGTAGAATTATAAGCTTCTCCAACAGAAACTTTCTCCAGGAGAGATCAGCTTCTTAGAAAAAGGATTCAGTTTCAACCCTGGAAATGCCGATATCCCATACTTCCTAGCAAACTAGAAACTGCCCTCCAAATCTCAGGATTTTCCCATGAAAAACAACAGACGTCAGATTAAACATCATTTCCAAAGCAACCCAAATTACTCACTTATGAACTGGCAGGCAAGAAAAGATAGCCATGAAGAAATTACGAGTGGACCTTAGCATCATTATCTTGCCAGCAGAGTCAGGATGAACCACAGCCATCATGAGCAAAAAAAGACTACACCTGCAGAACAGAAACATGCCTTAATACTCTACCACCATATATCAAGAAATTCGAAACAACCCATCCCCAAACTACACAGGAAAATTAATAATTGCCTCCTGAACCTCTTCTGAATTAATATGAAAATGCTTTAAAATAAACAAGTCCAAATTCAGCTAGCCCTTTTATCTGTTTTAAATTTTCATAGTCCAAACTCTTAGCCAGCTTTTTGCTGTAGATTATTTTTAAATCCTTGTACTTATTTTTTCCCTTTCCCTTTATTCATGCCCTGAGTCGTAGGAACATTCACCAGGAGGTCTAGTTACTCTGCTGCTCTGAAGATAAATAGTTATAATGCAAATGTGCTTTAGAATGTGGAATTTGGGTGGACCTGGTATCCTTTACAGGCTCCACTTGAGGCTGTGAGCTTGATCTTTCTTCTTTGGCTCCTGGTGCTCCAAGGTGCCTGTCTTCCGAAGCACATGTGGGCAATCTCTTCAGCTTCTCCTTGTCTGGAGAAGCTCCACTGATACGGGTTCACTGCCCAGTCGCAGTTCTCCACCTCAGCATTGTCTCCGCTCTTTGGAGATGTGTCAGTCCACCATTTTTCCTACGTGGAAGCCTCCTGAACCTCTTCAGAGAGCAGCAAATCATCTCCCCGCAAACTACACAGAATGAGATCCAGAAACCTCAGGGTAATTAAGTTTTATAGATGATCCAAAGTCTATTAGAAAGGCATACTCCTGCTCCTTATTGTTTCACCTCCCAACATCCCAACGTATGGGATTTCTAAAGAACTCCACAGGATACTACATCATACAGTACAAGAAGTAGAACAATCCATCACATCACCCATCCAATTCTTGAACAAGATCAAGAACATTTGCATAGAGAAAGATGAAGTCATGTTATGCTTTGATGTTACTGCACTATTCAATTCCATAGAACCTGACCTCACACAAAAAACTTTCCACAAACTGCAGTGCATGAACAAAATATGGAAACAAAACCTCAATTTCCAACCCCATGGAATTATTAACCCTCAACCTCACCATCTACTTCCAGTTTAACAACTGCATATACAAACAGATCACAGAGTAACCTTTAGGCTCCCCATTTCAGAATCCATAGCAGAAGAAGTCATGCCACACCTAGAAAGCATTGCATTCCAAAACATGGATCAGATATGTTGATGACACATTTGTCATTCCAAAAGAAAATCAAATTGAAAATACATATCAAATGCTTAATTCCACATGCCCAGGAATCAACTTTATCATAGAGACTGAGAAAGAAAATAAACTCCCATTCCTTGACATCCTCATCATCAAGCAGAACAGTGGCAGACTGCAAACCTGGGTTTGTAGAAAAACCAACAGACACTGACCAAACTCCCACAGCAACCACCCCACAACACACAAGATCACCTCATCAACATAGCGAAAACACATTGCAGCTCATCAACACTCAGATAAACAGAACTTAGCTACCTTCAAAATATATTTAAGAAGAATCAATCCCCCACCCTTTCATTAAAAAATGCACTAGGAAACAAAACAGAGAACAGAAAGACACTCCAAGAATCACTACAATAAAACTCCCATACATAAAAAATACATCAAAACACACCAGCACATCACAGTGGCCCACAAACCTATACAAACACTACAAAGAATTCTATGCACACCTCACCAAGACAGAAGTAACATTGTATAGAAAATGAATTGCTGGGACTGCAACCAGCACTATGTGGGACTAACAGGGTGCCCTTTGTGTCAAAGAATTAGAGAACACACAATTACTATAAGGAATCAGGATCACAAACACTTAACAGCCTCCTGTGTTCTCAATGAAGGTCACACATTTGACTGAGAGAACATGGAAATAACAGATCACGTAAACAGCAGGAGAACCAGAGAACTCCTAGAAACCTGGCACTCAAATCAACAGGCCATCAACAGTATAATGGAGCTGGATACGATCTATCACCTGGAAAGGTGTCTGATCAAAGCCACACCAGCACACAGACAAGGGGAACCAATCAAAATAGAGACACCACCATTCCCAGCAACCTATTAATCAGCACTGCTGAAGAATGCTCCAATCATCAATCAGCTCTCTGAGTTCAAATCTTGCACAGAGTACAAATTTCACAAGGCAATCCCCAACTTCTGAAGCATTGCATTGAGGAAGATTTGCTGGGAGGGAGGGCAAAAGAGCTGCAGAAAACCTGATCAATATCTAGTCCAGAGGACCTGACTACTGAACACATAGAGTCTGCCACTATCACTTTGCAGCAGCTGCAAAATAAAATAAAGATTTAGGGGAAAAGCAAACACGCAAGTAAAAGTGTGCTACTGCCATAGCTGAGGACCACCCTCCAAAAACAGGTGGGGAATTGCTCCTTCCTGTGGAGAAATAAGATAATTTCTTTGGTGGGAATGGATTCTGGGAGAGCTTGGGTGCATATGGGTAGGTCAATGCTCTCTTGGGTGGATGGGTCTCAGAAAGTACCTGACACTTCCGTTCTGTGACTGAAATAGCTTCCAAGCTGTGCCCCCAAAGAGATCTAGCATTGGATATGGGAAATAGTAACAAAACTACTGCATTTGAGGGTGGCATTCCTCAATAACAATTGCAGGAAATATTACCAGTGCAGAATATATTTTTTTTTGCCCCAGTTGTGGGCTCCTTTGGGGGCTATTCCTCTGATTGACTCCCAGATACAGAACCAGATGATCAAGTTGAGCAAACCGCTTCTTACATTAAAAAAGTGAGGTCATTCAAACATATTTCTCCTTTTCAAATTGGGGTCTCCTGTAACACTATTACTCAGTTTTAACTGAGACAACAGAAGCCTGCTTCCTGGTGTGAGATCATTCTCCGTCACAAAAGGAATTTACCCATCTTAGCGCATTAAGATCTTATATTTCCAAAAGCTACAAAAATACTTTTGAGGTTTTCTTTTGAATACGGTGTCATTCAAAAAAGAGATTGGTGGTGAAACCATCTCATTCCCTAGTAGGAAGTATGTGTGTGTATATATACGTGT